TTTCTGTCACCATCTTACCTGTCTGTAAAGCACTGTGTGATACATCTAAAACATAAAGATACACTGCTGGTTGTGGTGGTCGTAACTATGAGGGAAAAAAAATTTTCAAGCAAGAAAATTAATCATGATGGAAAAGAAAATAAACCTTTTTTACTATAAATATGCTTCACTCTAAAATTTAAAAACATACATCACATCTCTATTTTTAATTGTACAACACTTACTATTTAAAAAGTGTAAAAGTGGTTTTGATAATGCCTCCTCATCAGTTTGACAAATTGGTTATCTGAGAAACAGAAATAGAATGTTAAAAGGCCTATTACAGATATGGTTTTAATGAATCAAAAGTGGAATATCCTAACTTTTTAATCGTGTAATGACAAACGTATTTTGAAAGAATCAATGAATAGCTAATTATAAGTTAACAGAACAACATCACACTAAATAAATATATCCTCCTTTCCACTAAATACTATATTCTGCATACTCTAACAATTATCAAAGAGCAATCAAAATCAGATTTTCATATGCCTTTGTAACTACTAATCTAACAAATGCTTTTAGGTATGAAAAGCTCTGTAATGAAAAGTAGCTTATTTCATAATAATGTTTACTTCTAAAATTTCATATCTATGCCCTTTTAAGCTTTCCAGATGAAATACTGAGAAAATTATAATAACCTTAAATTTTCCTCATATCCTGGTCAATTAAAAATTAATAATTATCTACTTTAAATACATAAAACTAAGGTTATAATAATTATAGGATTAAAATCCATCATCAGATAATTTTATGCACAATATTGCTTCAACTTACCATGTATTCTGAAGGGGCAATAAACTCTACAGTAGCATTTCTAATCTCGGGTCGTTTGGAAGGATCTCCATATGACCCAGAAACAGGATCATACAAGAATTCTTCTGGTACTATTGAGAAATTAATTTCATTATTTAAGGAGCACAGAATTTCTTATTCTCTTCTTTATTTTTAGTGTTACTCAACATTAAATCTAAAGAATCCATTTGTCTGGTTCCATAAATATTTGATTCAACTCCAAGTTTCTAAGACACTCAAACCTATTTTATACCTCTGACATATCTAACCAACATATAATAAGAACCAAGGTGATGAAAAGCTTGAAATTCTTCATAAATTAATGAAAAAAATAATTAACTCTTTCACTCTCATTTATATAATTCATTATATCATTCTGAAAATCTTGAAATACTAAACATTATACTTTCCTAGTAAGGTTAGAGTCAGCAATGTATTGACTATCACAGTGTTTCTCAACTGGTGTGCTGTGGCACATTAGTGTGTAATGACACTGACCAAGTTGTGCCACGTATTTCTACTTTTCAAGAGTAATCTTATTTAACCATATTATATTTGTTAGTCTCGTTAGATCTTGATTTCAAAAATAAGTAACAAATTTCAGAGCCATTCGTGTAGCCATAAGCACTATCGAGCCTCAAATCGAGCATCTATGTGCAGTGAAGCAGGCCCAAATATCCCACTAATTATAATGATTAATACATGTATAATCTAAAATTCTAAATAAACGTTTGTATTGCTATAACTTTTGGTGTGCCTTAATATTCTAAGCTATATTTAGTGTGCCATTGGGCCAAAAAGGTTGAGAAACACTAGACTAAGATATATAAAAGTAATATTCAAGACAAAAAAAATTAAACTTTTATTTGTACATAATTCCTAATTGAGAGTTAATAGATACATAATACACATAATTTAACTTCTGACATGGGAAAACCAATGAAGTTGAAATACTACCTTACGTATGTATCAAATGAAACAAGATATCATTTAAACATAAAAACTGAAAACAATGTGGAAAAATCCATTGCATTTCTCACAAGTATTCTTTAGAACTTATTTTCCAATAAATTTATATACAAGTTAAGCCAATCGATTGTACCAAAAACAAACATTTCAAATAAATCAAAGGTACAGAGTGAGAATCATAGAGATACACATCTCACACTTAGCCACTATATTTAAATCTCAAACACCAAAGCACAATAGGCATAATTGAAGCAGGTCAATAAAAACAAATGACTGGAAGTGATAGAGATGTATCCACTGAATAAAATTCCCATCTTTATAATGGTAAAACATTTTACATGACATAGTTAACTAAACAGAACTGCATATATTGTGGCATTTACCTTTCTAATTCCCATGCTATAGTATAACACTGGCCATAATATTCTTTAATGAATAAGTGTTTAATTACACAGATACATAATATTGTGTAATAAAATAACCCCATCAAATGAATACATAAGTAATTTTTGATTAACTTGGTTAATGTATGATGCCTGGAACACAACAACGTGTAAGTTCTAAACATGACTATTACTGATAAAATAACTTATACATACTGAATTGACATCAAGATTTTTTTTTTTTCTACTGAGTCAAAAACAAATATAATTTATCTGGCTTAAGTAAGCTAAAAAAAATCCTGAAATGTTCAGATCACAGAATGGGCCTCATACTCAACCAAAGAATTCCACTGACTATAGCTTTATGAGAAGAAATTGAAAGAAAGAATCATAAGATTATTATTCAGTATACTCAGTCTTACACTTCTTTAGCATAGTACTCAGAATACGTGAACTGAAATGCCTTGAACACAAATATCAATCATTGCTCTTTGAAGGGATACAAGCACCTTTTCTTGTATCATCTTGACATCAACTAGATGCTTATAGCAACTGTTGACCTTTATAAATCCTATGTCACAGAAAACCATTGGATATGCATACATATTCAGAGAGAAACAACTCCAGATTGGTTTGTGTTCTTTTTACAATAACTTGTATGTATATCTTTATATTTCCACAATTTAAATTTTTGTTTTATTCACTAGAAATAAGAAACATCATGTGCACACAAAAATAGATGTCAAAAAAAAATCACATCTAAAATTAACTTGGAATAACCCAGTCAAAATGTTAAAACATCTAGACTAATATAAAACAACTAGGAATAATATAGTATCAAAAATTTTCCCAAACATTGTTCATAAAAACATTCAAGACATAGTTTCCCAACACTCCGTTTTCACTAAAATAAGGAAAAGAAAACATTTCTGACATTTAAAAACAATTTATTGGTCTTTAATAATCCATAAGTTTGAAATCACACCATTTAACCTGATTTCTTATAAAAAAAAATAGTAAATAACTCAAATATGTTACCACAAAACTAACATAAAAATTAATAAAAAATAAGTCTAATTTTAAATAATGCTGAACACACACATTACAAATGTAGCTCAATAACTGAAGACACAACAGAATACCCATAATTAAATCAAGCAATTTTTGGAAACAATAATACAAGTAAAGTGTGATTATAAATGGCACACTTTACAAAAGAAATACTTACAATCATTTACTCTAAAACACAGATTACATTTCCATCTACGCTGATCAACAAACGAAATATAAGGGTTGATGTAAGTGCGACATGATCTACATCGCACTATACAGCCACATTGAATCACTGGAAGGTGCTAGAAAACAAAAACAAATCACTGCTTTAAATAACTTACATTATGTATCAAATAAGCCTATGAAATACATGGTGTTTAAATGTAAATGATTCAATGTTTTTTATCAGTAAACTCTTATATTTTATCACTTATTTTCTCTACCCTAATATAACTGTAGCAAAATCATCAAGGTTGTGAACAAAAAAACTGAATAATACAAAAAAAAATCTGTAACACCTTTGTTCCATTAAGACTACAGATTGTAAAAGACAATAATAATTATTTATCCTATCAGCCTCAGCTTTCTAAACCTGTTCACATCTGCTTGTATTATAATTGTATTACTCCACAATGTCCATTTGACCTTGTCTATGTACATGACAAGCAAGTAGCCACAGCAGGACTTAATGTATACAACTGATCAAGTTATGATCATGTGAAGTAAGTCGATCAAGCTGTCTCAAAAACTAATTTCTTCCTTTATGTTTTGTTGTCTAACCTCACAAATTTGTAATTTTTACATTTCAGTTACTCTGTTAAAAAATATATAGCAATAAGTAATACAAATTACATAAAAATAACAGGAAATTTTAGACTAACATTAGAGTCAAAGCCTATTTCCATAATCTGTACCAGATAGTATATTTCATTAGCATTAGTTTTTCATATTATATTGGCTTTCAACAAAATCATCATGTTCCTTTCAAATATTTATTTTAGAACACAAAAAAATTTATCATTCTCTAGAAAAGAATGGCACAAATATATTATAATTCAATTGTTTTTTATCTTAGCTTTAAATAGATTTAAAACATTTTGTCAGCTGCTTGGAGCAGAAAAACATGATGGCAAACAATGAAACTGAGGATAAATATCAAATAATATGTGCCAAAAAAAAAACAGTATAAGGTATCCTTTACATAAAAAGTTACTCTTTATAGTGATTATAAATAATTCAATAACAATATCAGGAAGAATTACTGAAAGAATGACAAGGGAGTAGTGTATCATGTGGGCTTGACAGCATTTTTTTTATATCTCAGTTAAGCAAAATGACTGGAAGTTCCAAGTCTATATTTTGGATTGCCAATATTTATAGTATGTGTTTCTAGTTTGTTGGACAGTCAGAAAATCACACAAAAGTAGAAAGAAAATTTATAATGCATCACTTGATATATAGAGATGAAGATTGAAAATTTTTTAAGTATTTTTATTTGAAATAAGGATATTAAATATATTTAATATTAAAATTTAGATTATAAACTATATTTTGATGCTAATTATTTTTACATACATTGATAATAAAGTTGTATAATAAATTATGAATAACTGTAAGAGGTTGTGCATATTCACCCTGCAGACTACATATCCAAAATACAGCCTAAGCTGAAAAAATATCAAACAAATTTATTCAAAGCGTACTGCAAAAATCAGCCAAACAAAACAGTTTTAAATACATCTAATACCAACATTTATAAGCACCTTCATACTACACAGATTATAACAGTCTAATTCTTAAAAGAAAATAGAATATATCAATTATGTTGAATACATTTGCACACATTTATTACTCACATTTAGATCTCTGAAAGGATGAATAAGAATTCCTAAAGGGAGCCGAGATTTTTGTAGCAGTGAATGAGTTTCTGGAATCTTTCTAAGGGTGCACCTGAAAATACTATAAAAACAATATACCAGTGAATGTAAATCTCTGTTCAATCTGGCATTTTACAATAAAATATTAAACAGAAATAGATGCAATTCCATTATTTTTTAACTCTGATCTTAATACTGGATTTCTCGAAGTGTATTAACCCTATTGCCACAGGTATCCTTTACTGCTCAGGATACAAGGTTTTAATGTCTTACACTCAAAATTTATTAAACTACTTTCTGTTCATGTTATACCAATTAGTATAGCATAAACTTTTAGCTAATAATCCATATTGTAATAGTATACAAGTTTTAAACTCTTCATTCTATGAGACAATATTTAAAAAAAATTTGAATTTTCCCTAGTGTGACACATTTTCTCTAGTTATCTTCTCTTCTCCATTTTATCCACCACCCCTCCAATAATTACAAAGTTTAACATAAATTACTCACTATAAAATCATTATTCAGACAAACTGTAATTTTTATAGCCTTCAATTTTGTTTGGTAATAGAGCTATCAAATAGAAAATCAGACTCCTCCTGCCACACCTACCTGTCACATCCTCTCTTTAACAATTTGTTGATAGTTCTCTCTTACGTTTCATTATATATTACTTATAATCAATAGAAAGGCAAGATTGTCATCTATCAAACGACATATTGTATAATGTTGTATTATGAACATAATATTGTCAATTTCACTTCTAGTACAGCTTTTATTTGCTTCAAAATGGTACGGCTCTTGTTGCATTGTTAAAAAGTCAGAAAAATTTTGAGAGTTAGGGGAAATTGTCTACTTTTTGCATGATATTAATCTATGTTCTTTGGTGCATTATTTAATTAAATAAAAATTATTTAGTGCATTACTATCATTAGTATAAAAAAGTAGGGTTAAGTGTCATAGACATTCAACACCAAGAAAAAATAAGATTGGGTAAGTACTTTATTGTTTTTCATGTTTATTCTTTATCTATTATTGTAAAAGTAACTAAAATGCAAAAATAGGGATCTTTTTAAGTTAGTTAAGATTACATTAGGTAAAATAAATACACAAAGCACACACAAGAGCAGCTCATGGAAATTGTAATTCAACAGCATAATGTGAGCTGCACATTCCCCGAGTGATTTACAACTTATAATGGCGAGGATAGTAGTTAAACACAGTTCAAAGAGCAACTAGAAAGAAATAAAGGATAATTTAGATTTACTTCGATTTTTTTTTGGTGGTTACAAGGTTGTTCAAATTGACCAACACTGTATAGAGATATGGTAGAGAAAATAATAGATAAAATATAAAGATTTCCTGAAAAAAAAATTACCCTATCAAATTATGTAATGCATGAGTTGTTCACAATCATACCTAAGGAAAACGTTTTTATCATCTTACCTAATCTAACCTAGTACATTTCTATGTTTTACATTTTAAATACTTTTATAATAATAAATAAAGAATACACATGAAAAACAAGAAATATAGTATTTACCTGGGATCTTCTTGTTTTTGCTGTTGACGAAATTGAACCTTACTTCTTTATACTAAATCATTTTTTATTTAATTACTACATCACCTAATAACACAAAAAAATAACACGTATAAAGCAGACAATGTTCCGTATGTATCATAATGTTCTGGCTATCTCTGTGATAAGTGGTGTTAAAAATTCAGCTAAGCTCATCAATGTATTTCCTGAGGAAATAGTTTTTGACTGGAAATGAAATAGACAATTCTCTGTACAGAAAACAGCATCATATAAGATGTCACTGGACAGGTTGAAACATTGTCTTTCTACTGGTTACAAATAACAGTATAAAACATCAAAGAGAACTATTGGTAAGTTATGAAAGACAAAATGTGAGAAGTGGCATTGCAAGAAGAGTCTGATTTTCTAGTTTATTGCTCCATTAACAAATAAGATTGAAGGCTATAAAAATTTTGATTTGCCCAAGTAATAAATATATTATAATAAGTAATTTACATTAAATTCCATACTTCTCAGAGGGGTGGTAAATAAGTTAGAGAAGAGGAGAGACCTAGATAGCAAATGTCTCAATTCTCATATTAGGTGAGATTAAGGATTTTTTTTTAATATTTCCATATAAAATTAAGAACTTAAAATTTAGATGATATTAAAATTAGATTTATTAACTACATTTTGATGCCAAGTTTATTCATATACATTGATAATAAAGTAGTTTAAATTTTCAAAGTAATTCTGTAAAAAAAGGTTGTAACATGTAAAAAAATGGTACCCATAGTGAAAGAGTTAAGTAGTTTACAAAATGAGTTACCAGATTTTGAAAAACACAACTTTTAATAAAAAAAGACATAGTGCATAAAATTCACAATCAATCTGCATTTATACTAAAGATTTAATCAACAATATTTTTGTTAAAAGTAACATGGACATTTCTGAAGTAAAATATTCCTTGTTTGCAACATACTCTCGGTTGCATGCTGGTCTCTCATGAGGTGTCAGAATCTTAGGAGGTTCCAGTGGCACAGATGGAAGTATATTTTTATCTTGAAGCAAGTTGACATTTTCACTTTCCTAAAAACATAAAAAATAAACAATTTAAGTTGAATCAGTAAAACACTCAAAAAAATTTTAACTAAGAAATTTAATGAAACATTTTGCTGGTAAGTTTTACAAGTTCCTACCCTAGCATATTGTATGCATTATTGACAAAAAAAAAAAGACTACTCACTGATTTCCCAAAAATTGAAGTATGGCATTTGCTTGTCTAAAAAACAAAACCTATCACAATTAATTCATATCTGAAGATGTTTAGAATGTGTTACTAAAACTTACTTATATGTGTAAAGCATGTTTCATTCTTTAAATTTGCTATTACATATAGCATACCTTTTTATCTAATCATTAACTCCCTGTATACAGGCTCAATCGTCTGATCAATTTTGTAACCACCATGTAACTATGAAGGTTAACATTTTCCTAATCTAAAAATGTATTTCTGATAGATACCTCCACACAGAGAAATGCTATTTCCCTCACACATTTCCCTATGATACTTGCATGTCACTAGCCTTGAGCTAACTCCCACCTAAATTCACATTTAACATGAACTGTGTTGATGATGGAATCATCATACGACAATAGCCCTCCACCAATAGGCCAAAACAACCTTAGTGTACAGTAACTACCCCTAGGCACTTACATTTGTGATAACTTCATTCTTACACAAGGCAAGAAAAAGCTGCACTGGAATGGGTGAAGGAGTGAGTGCCTAACAAAAATATATTTTCAGATTAGGAAAATGTTAACTTCCAAGAGAATAACTCACCTCTACACAGAAATGCTAAATCCCATGATGAAGTAGTGAAGGGGTGGTGCAAAATGTTACCATGGAACATGACACCTGATAGCAGAAGCTCCATAGAGGCATACCTGTGGGAGATCTAGTCTTGACCAGGATTTACTCTTCATCCAAGATGAAAGGGAGGAAAATGCAAAACAGCCTGAAGTATTGCAACGATGGGCAGAATATGATCATGACCAACTGAGCATCAGCACACAAGTGATCAGCAAGCCAATATGTGTAGTGTGGTTAGGACTCAATCAGACAGTACTGTGTGTGTAAACACTTGACTCTATTAGACATATTATGGCTACAGGAGGACAGCACATTAGCTGTGTGAGGGGTGACCTATACTACACTGACAGTGTCACCAATGCTTTACTTCTCACCACACTGTACTATGCCCAACTAGTGAAGATTCTCTATAATGCACTACCCTAGCAGATAGGAACTAGTAAGTGGCAAGAGTCTACCATGCTCCATTTAAAGAAGGGATGGAGGGAATTCACAATGGGGAAACCCAGAGAAGTGGCTGGATTTCCATCAGACTACCAGCTTGAAAAAGTCTTTCACTGGAGACAGTGCAATGGGTGACCACAAATCCCTATTTTTAAAAGCAGAGAAGCATGAGTCAAAGAAGTGGGCAGTAATCTTCCCAGTGCCAACTTTTTCCATGATAGCCCATGGAATTGGTACGGTCTGAATCGGACAATTGAGTAAATTTATACAACACGAGGACACCTCTAATGGTCTCGTGAAACACCCCATCTCACAATTGGCACTGGTACCCGAGACAGATGGTTTGAATATTTTCCATTACCCTTGGCCCAATACAGATTTTAGGAAATAAACATACATTTGGAGGCAACACACCAGCCATCTGATGGGATCCTGAGTGATGGAATAAGAAAGCATAACTACTACTCATCTCAAAGAAAATGGACTGATTAAAGAATGGCAACAGGGAGAAGTCAAAATCCTGTAGGAGATGAAACAGCACAGAAAAGGATAGCCATAGCAAGAGGGTTAATAAAATTTTGAATGTAACTCTGTAAAATTTGTTGTAACATTGCACAGAAAATGATGCCCATAGCAAGGGGGTTCATAAAATTTTGAATGTTACTCTGTACAAATGTTGTCATAGGATTAATATATTTCAGGGCAACTATATGTGGTAATTTTATTTTTACAATATATGTATTTCATTTCCTCAGATTTGAACTTGAGACCTGTCATTTACTAGGCGAGTGCTGTACTAATTGCACTAATGGGTTAATCCTTACAAACTTCTACAAATATATGTAAATTGAAAATTACTCACAAAAATCACTGTTTTTCTTTATTTGTCAAAAATATTTGACCCACATTTTAACTCCATTTAAATTCATTTTAAAATGAATATACTTACCCACATTTTAGAAAAACCTCCATGGATGCTCATTCCAGTCATTTGAGCATGCAACTGAGGATCATACCCCCCTGCAATTCCTCCAACAGGTCCTTCTGGATGTTTAAGTGAAAAATGCTGCTGAGTAGAGCTAGTGGTGTTAAAGAAAGGTGAAGACTGTCTAATTGGCTGACTAGTTAGTTTTGAAGTTTGACTACTTCCAGACTGAAACAGAAAAAAAATATACAAGGTTTTATTTACTTTTCTCTTTCATTACATTTTTGTCAGATTTACAAATATATAACATATCTTTTACCTTCATCATTACTAGAGATAAGATAAATATCTCATCATTAATTTTGCCATGAATTGAATAATCAGATAGATTTCTATCAATGGATTAACTCAAAATATTTAGGCATGATACTATTTCCACATGTATCATAAATAGTAGGTATTGTGTCATCTAGCCACTGGTGCTTTTCTACTACCTTCTAAACATAATAAGATTTTCACTGATATTAACCCTTTCACTAATATTTTGTGTACAAAAGCCTTGTAACATTCACTGATAATCTGGAAAATTTCATGAATAAATGCATACACTATCAAACATTATTGAACAACTGCTCTCATGGTTACTTTAATGGATGCATGCTGAGTGGATTCCACCCAGACCACAGTCAATGAGTTAATGTGTAGGAACCTTGGTAGTTGTAATACTCATAGTACAGGTAGTTATGTAGTTTAAACAAATGTCACGTCCAGCCATTATTTCACAAGTAGTCACGTTAGTGGCAGTAACACCAATAGCAAGTACAATCCAGATAACATTCTTAGCAGAGAATGAGGGGTGTAAAACTGGCTTATGATGGCACTTACTGCATTCTTTAACCTTATTGCTAAAGGTTTTTCTACGGGTAGAGGTCAGAGGGCAAGTCATCAAGTACATAATTACATTCAAAAGTTTTTGATCTAATATTTTATGAATGTATGGCAATAAGTTGGGAATCAAATTTTAGATTATAATTATAATTTTGGTATTTTACATTAGTTAATTTCTTAAATTAAAAGTAAATATTAAAACAAAATTCATAAATATTAATTTCTGTGTGTCATGTGGTATGTTGAATGCAGTTTTGCTTCTAATTAGATGTGTTGATGTCCAAATACAGTCTATAGTTTCTTACAAAATAGAAACTTAATTTACTGATATTGACAAGCTAGAATATAAAATAAGAACCTCCTGTCTTTTCTATTTACTAAGATATCACTATATTTAACAAATCAAACACAGTAGCCCTGCCCACCTCTTTTATTTTTGGAAATACTTGTTTACGTACACCCACTTCACTCTATCACGTTTTCAACCAATGAATAGCTAAGGATTTCCCCCCACATGGTTTTCTCAGACTTTGAATGTGTCTATTTGTCAAAAATAGTCTTTTTGTTTCAAAGCTTGAAGAAAAGAGAAGACAAAATGGTGATTGGAAAATATTTTTTTAGACCCAAACACAACTTAGTTAGTAGGCATGACAAATTACAGTGGAAATCTGTGGTATTGGTATAGTAGTTTATAATTTTTTATCTTAAAATGCATATATGTAAAACCTAAAGAAATTCTGTTTTACATCCTCCATGTGTGAAAATCGACAAGGCTTATTAGCATGCCAGGTAAGGCAAGCGAGTATAACAATCATAAGTGGTAAAGATCATTGTTTTCTATATTTCTTTATGATCTTTTCTATGTTTTAAGAAAAATAACTGAAGTATAAGAATTTATTTGTAAATAGTAATAATATATATGCATACGTAATGTATTATAGCCAAAATGTGATTGAATTTTGCAAAAAAATTGTCCAATAGAACAAAGCTGAGACATTTGCTCTTTGCAAAGACCAGTTTTATGCTATTGGACACAGTCATATGAGCTGCATGTGCACTGCTTGATTGCATCTTCTTTAATGTTAGTCAGACATGGCTGAAAGGTAAATAAAATAAAAATAATAAATATAAAGAGATGTATAATGTTACGAGATTCAAGCTATTTAGAATAAACATTTGTGGTTTCCTGTACAATTTGTAGTCATTCTAGAATGAAAAAAGCATAATTTAGATCTATTTCCTAATTTATTATGGTGGTTTGAAGGTCGGTCAATTCGACCAAACCCGTACAGAGATAAGATAAAGAAAATTACACATAAGATATAAAAAAAAATTTTTTTAATGTTTGGTAGTTAGCTGAAGATTAATTAGGGGAGTTATAGAGATTTTGCAAATGAAATTTGACAATTTGCTGGTGTATAAAAGTATTTTTCAACTTAAAATCAAAATCACTTTGCATGTTGTATAGTCAACATTCGAAAACAAAAAATGCATGAGTAAATCTTTAATTAAAAAATCTGGTATTTTGTGTATGAAAGCCTAGTAAATATACTGATAATCTGCAAAGTTTCATGAAGATATGCATATATTATAAAAAGTTATAGTATGACTGCTCTCATGGTTACTTTGGTGGTTACGAGTTGGGTGGATTCCCCCTAGCCCATAGTCAAAGAGTTAAAGGGCCTGCAATGATCATTCACTCATGTGGATCTGTACATCCTTATTAAATTTTTTAAAAAAGCAATGACACAGGGTCAGATTAAGGTGGGGACTGGTGGGGCTACAGCTCCAGGCCCACCACATTAAAAAAAATAAGAAAAAAGATGTGCATTAAAAAATACAATACAATATTAACACCCATAAAGGAATGAGGAAGAATGTACCTGATTGTTCCCGTTACATGCAAGAATAGACCTAAATACCAATAAAGAATTCAAACAAGATTGTAAAATTCACAATGTACAAAGAGTGAAAATAGATAGATATTAGGTTAACAGACAAATGAAACTTTTTCATGGACAGACACTTTCAGAATAGACAAATTTTCAATCAAAGGATAAATAATCTGTAGCTATTCTAGAAAGAAAAATTGGTAACTTAGAATTATTTTGATTTTTTTTGTTGTGTTTGGTGAATTTGACCAATCTTGTATAGAGTTAGGGTAGTGAAAACAGATGAAATATAAAACTTTACTGAAAAAAATGTTTGAAATGTATTCAGGTTTTAGAGATTACACAAATGACATTTGAGATGAAGGAAAGTATTTTTTATCTTAACATGAAATCACTTTGCACTCGAATTGGTCAAAAAAAGACTTGATATGTTCACAGAAAAATCTTCAGTAAAAAATACTTCATTAAAAAACTGACTTTTTGCGTACAAACAACTCATAATGTTTACTAAAATTATGCAATTTTTGTGAAGATACACTTAGTGCATTAAAAGTTCTAGTATTAAAACTATATACAAGTAAAAAATGTGCACATGGTCTGTCCCTAGGACTGAGCCCGTATTGGGAGTAAAAGTGGGTATGTCACAGCCTTTTACAATTACATTCAAAATTTAATTAAAAAAATTTGATCTACAAATTATGTTTAATGCCAACTTTATTGACATACATTGATAATAAAGTTGGCATTAAACATAATCTGTAGATCAAATTTTAATAACATAAAAGTTTCAATTTCATACTTTTAAAAGTATATATACATAAATTCACTTTCTGTTTATCGCATGACAATTATTCAGTCTAAACTAATTATTTCAACATTTTCTGCTACCCTCTAAGGCATTGTAATTTTCCATGGAATTTTGCACTCACATTATATATATATATATCCTCGAGCTAAACTCTCTATTTCTAATGAGAATTTGCCACCTATACAGCTTTTGCTTTATGGAGATAACAACAATAAAGTACTGGTCAAATGCCATGTTTTTCACTGAGCATCCTGCTTTCAAAACACCAATTTGACCACCAATTTTGATTTCATTCCTTTAACCCTCTCCCCCCCCGAGTAACCTATACTGTGCATGACACATGGTTTTAGTGCCTTACATTCAAAATGTTATTAAACTACTTTTTGAGTGGTTTTTGTTGAATAACCTTGCACATGTGGCTTATAGTTACACCAAATGAGACTCCTAATTGTAGGTTGAAAAGATCTATCAGCATACCAAATTTGAAAAAAAAATCTGTAAGAATTAAATGTTTTTCTATTGAATAAAATTTCTGTACTTTTGGTGCAAAGAAAACAAAAAGCAAGAACTTCAAACAAAAGTGGAAATTTAATATCTCATGTATTTCTCAATGGATTGCCTTGAAATTTGGTATGTGAAGTAAGGGTCAAGTAGAGCACATACACTGAAAATATGTGATAGTTTGGATTACCACAGTCTGAGCTACAGAAAGTGCAAAATCGTGAAACTATCACTCTGTTAATAACACACAGTGCATCCTGCAAGTTGTTTTGGCTGCATGACATACTACCATGTGTCTTGATATCAAAATACCAATGAACATTGTCTCAAAATTATTATAATGCACACATCAAATTGCCCTAATACACAAGAATTGTTATTTTAAAGATTTATCAGCATCTTATATCTAAAAATAACCAAGCACAACCCTAAAAGATTAAAGCATTTAGTAAGATAATAAGCGTAAATTTAAAATAAATATATTACGAAAACCTATATTTTCAACACTGACTATTGATTGAACCAGTGAAATTCTTCTGAAACACTCCTGCCTCCGTTTAAGACTGTTAAATCACAAATGTTATTGTTCTTATATGTGTGCCCCTTTTACGGGCTGAACCCTGCCCTTCAAAAAATTCTATATCCGATCCTGACTGTGATGAAAACTTGAAACTGATTTCTGATTTGTCTTCTGTAAAAACTTACAAAGTTTGTTGTCATTAATAATGATTGCCATTTCCTGAAATAATATCAATTTGATGATAGCTTGGTAGATTTAAAGCCTTAATGGCCACTTTATTTGCTTGTATTATGAACAAGTGTGAGTAGGTCCACTTCAGCTCCAGGCCTCGTAGACCCTTAATCCAGCCCTGCAATGATAGTAATTATTTTAATTCTATACTATAATGAAATGGTAACTCCCACTAGCACATTCTCAAAATGTATAGCCGCATCTACTATCCAGCCCAAAAATATAAAAATATGATGAGAAGATGAATATCCAAAATCAATTTTATATCAAACCTACAATTTGTCCAATCAATAATCATTACATTACTAATAATCATGGTATAGCTAAACGTATGTTAGTTTACAAGTAATTAAAAAAAAACTACTACCTGTTGTGGATACCTAGGTCTAACATGGGCTGGTCGTACACCGTTGAGTGGTGGTCCAAAACCCACATTTTGGACTTGTGTTTGTTGAGAGATAACTGAGCTTGTGGTAGAAATAAATGGTGTAGCACTCTGTGCAGATGGTGGGGGTGGTGGGCAAGAGCCTTGGGCTATGGGGGGACCATTAAATCTTGGTTCACCTGACCCATGACTTAGAGCTTGTAGGTTTGTGGCTGAAGTAACTGGACCTGTTTAGAAACAAAAAAAAAAAAAGGAAATGATTTTTAATGACAAACTGAAATAACCAAATAAATATGGAGTAACTAAAAAGGATAACAAAATTCTTTTTTTTCTTATCCTTGCCAAACAATAAGACATTTAAAGAAAAATATGTAACATTCACTTACTTGGAAAAAAAAATGCATATAATAAACAAAATAAAAATTTGTTTCATGTGTTTTTAGTTTTTTAATATTAAAAACACTCCTATACAGAATCGCATAAGATGGAGTAAAAACACATTAACAGAAATGATTTATTTAATTTCTGTAGTGCAGATTGATATATGGAAGACATTAATACCAGAAATAAAGAACCTTATAACACTGAAGGTTGTACTGTCAGTTTCAGCTTGTGTTTCAGTGAATGCTCCTGAAGAAGCTGTAAAGTGAAATGTTGAGTGTCTAATTACGTAAAAACAACAATTCAGTGTTATAAGGTCATATATTTCTATTATTAACACAAAAGATTTGTCAAACATATATTCTAAATAATCGTTTTAACAGACTTCCCAATTTTAGTATATTGCTAAAATTGCGTTAATAAGACAACAGTGCTGCCACTCCATGTTTTTAAGGGGGGGAGATAAAAAAAGAGGAAAGTAACACAACAGCTGAAACTTGTTACTGACTTATCATAAATCATGCTACTTTAAGGAACATTGTTAACAAATGTTTGTTGATACCATAGATAACTCTCAAACTAGAATAATGCTTATTAATGACAATTTATTACATTAAAAGAACATGAAAATTAAAGTTTTATTTATGGATGAAAAAAATAATTGTTTTCAAAAACATACATCTTATTTGTGAAAAATATGTTATGCTGTGTAAGCACAGCATTGTCAAGTGAAAACATTTTATTAATAGAATATGACTGTTTTTCATATAGCTAGAAATACTTGCTCTGCTCAACAAGGCTTTCTCAACAGAGATAAATATGTTAAAATCATAATTTAATTCACAAAGCCAGTATCCACTCAGTTATAAATAAAACTTCATAATCCCTAGAAAGTGAATCACAACCTGAAGATACAAGCAATGATTTATAAAAAAACATTTTTTTGCTTTGTGTTATACCATATATCCTAGGTTAAAAATAATTAAAGAATACAACATGAATTTAACTATTAAACTTTCCTTCCTACCAGAAAGAAAACTAGTTCAAACTGCACTGCATAAATTTGTATACGAGAGCATTTCAGGATCTTTGTATCAAATTATATTTAAAGACTTGGTAATTCTTAAATTAGAGAAACATGCTGAGAAGTGTCTGCAACATAAAAAGTCCCTTCCTTTGTATTTGAGTACATGTATCAAAATATTCACTCTCTTGTTTTTGTTAATGTTAAAATTAATGATAGAGAAAATAATACAAATGGAAGAAAAATCAAAGAAGCTCTCTTTATCAAAAACAAACCTAACATTAACCAGTATTCAATTGTAGAATTATACTTTAATTTTTCCATATGTAATGGCTGTGTTAGACTCATTTTCATTTTCTTGCTTAGTGATGCATTATTGCTGTTGATACTGCAACATGCAACGGTTTTGTTCCGTTATTCAAATTTATTCACCTGATGATGCCAGGTAAACCCAACAAAATGTAGTGTTATTTAAAAATAAAATAAAATAATACCATAATTGATATTTGAAACTGTCAGTACTTGGTGAAACTCCATTATTATAGAATTGAGGGGAAAAAAAAAAGGCAATTGTATGTTTCACAAAAACTTCATTTATTAATGACTATAGTTTCACCAGGTACCTAATGATGCATTTACTGGTGAAACCATGGTCATTAATTAATGAAGTTTACCTAATGATGCGTTTACTGGTGAAACCATGGTCATTAATTAATGAAGTTTTTGTGAAATATACAACTGTCTTTTATTTTTTTCCCTCAATTCTGCCATAATTACTTGTTTTATCCATAAATAAAACTTAAATTTTCAAATTCTTTTAACTTAATGAATTGTTAATAATAATAAGTAACATTCAAATAAGCATTACACAATATTTGAAACAGATCTAATACTGATGCAAGCTCCAAAAAAGTCACTCTCAGAGCATTGACAAGTACATAAATACCATATTGAAAAAAAATTATAAAAGAAAAAAAAGTACTAAAACATTAGAAACAAAACAGAATATCCAAAACTTAATATTTATTAAGAAAGTAAGAAGTTATAGCACTAAGCATTCACAAAATTAGTTTCCTGATCAGTAAGCTGCTATCATTAGCATTACATAGTTTAATTTTATTCTGGACATCACTAATGATCATTCAATGAATTACATTTTACAATCATATATGAACTTATCAAAATATTCAATGATAATCCTAACAGAAAATGTATTTGAAACTATCCTCACAGCAACTTGGTCAAAATATTAGGAAGGATTTCACAGGGAAAGGATGAAGAAGGACAATACTAAGATTTACTTTTACATGGTTAGTTTTTTATAGTTCCTTCATAACAAAATTTTTATAAAACACAAAATAAGTACATTATACCAACGCTGTTGCAGCCTGCTTTTTTACATCTTTACCTCAGAGATATATTGAAGGTTGCAAACATGTGGTACCTCCATCACAGAAACTTTTACAAAATGTTTTAACAAAAGTTTTTGGTAATGTGATTAAGCTATAACTAAAAAAGTGATGCAGAAGTCCATAATTCTACATTCTGAAAGTTAAGTTTATCAGGGGTCTAAATTTACCTTATCTTGTACAGTGAGTACAAAATATTACCCTCACTTTTCTCACTGGAAAAAATTAGTCCTATAATATATAATTTCACACTTCCTTTTTTGTGTATTTTGTTTTGGCTAACACCACCGATCACAGGATAATAGCATGACCTTTTTTCATTTATCACTGACATGTAAGAGTCCCATAAATATGAAAACAATTTACTGACAGGCTAAAGAGACAGTGTACGAAACACTACTCTTACCCCTCCCCAAACAAAAAAAAAAACACTAATGACAATAGGGCATATTATTAAACTAGGGGAGGCCTTAAAAAACAGGAAGATAGGGCTGCTGGGAGGCCTGCAATAAACATAATCTAACTTTAAATGGTAGTAAATGTTTTAAGTGTTCATGAATTAAGTTCAAACACTAAAAGCTTACTTCTGGTTTATAACAAAACAGAGAAATTTTTTGGAAAAATACCTTTTCGCCAAAGCAATATTTGTTTTTAAAAACTCTTTTTTTTACACTAATTACTCTATAACTTCATATTTGTCAAGAAGCAAACACAAGTATAACAATTATGACAAAACCATGCAAGAAACCAACATTAAAACATGCAAGCAAAACTAAAAAATGAACCTACTTGGTCTGCTAGAGGGAAACTGCCCTTCCATGTAGTCAATACGCTGCATGGGTATGGGAGAAGTGTTCTGCGAGGAACGAGCCGAAGTAGGTTCTATGAAGGAGGAAAATGGGGTCATGCAGTTAGAAGTAAATAAATTAATATAACATATATACATTATTTTTCCAAGTCATTCACAAAAATAGCTTAGCAGGCAAATAACAGATTAAAGTACTAAAAAACAAAACATAAAGAACATTTAAAGAAACAATGACTTAGCAAACCCATGAAATTGTTTAATGTTACAACTAATATACGAGTTTAGTAAAATGCCATAAAGATGCAGTGTTTATTTAATAAAACATTTAGAAACAGCTTTTTTTTTTACATTTAAACCTAGTTTAACATTATGCAAATTGCTAAGCTAATTTAATTTTAGACCATGTGCTATTTCCTAAACCATGCTCAAACTAAAAAAAAAGTTAAAGCCACTCTGTCAAATATGACAAAAAAATTACATGTATTAACAGTGCTTTTCATCTGACAGAAGCACACTATTTCTACTGTGCTTTTAGTCCTTTGATATTAGTTCAAGACCATATATATACACTATTTCTACCTAAGGGGCCTTCCTTACATGTCTTAGATCTGACGTAAAGAACATATGAATATTATCAGTACTCATCTGACATTAAAAACAATATGAGCAGTACTGTACCTAAATATTCTAAGACTCTTTATCTGCTCTTAAGACCATAAATGCAGAGTAGTTGCATTACCTGTGCCTAAGATAACTTTTGGTCCCTTTACCTGATATATGTACAGAACGCAACTTGTAAAGTTCGGTCTTTACCACACATCAGTAAATATTAGAAATAGGACCAAGAAATTTGTGGAAATTCCTAATAAGTTATCACGATCATTAATCTATTACATTGAACTAATTGATTATTTGCACCCGAGATAGCTAAACCAAAAACAAAAAAACTTATAATGCTAAAAACTGGGTATTGATAACTGCAGTGAGCAGAGCACAGATAGCCCATTTTGCCTATGTTTAACAACAAGCAAGCATACTTGCAATATTTCAATTACCTGAATAGTTCAAAACAGTAGTAATTGGAAATTTGATTTAAATTAGTTGATTGTGTTCTTCAGTTGTGACGCTAATCAATTAAGCTGAACAAGTAACAGACAATAACAATGAAATATAAATCATAACAGCAATATTTCAATTACTGGATAGTTAAAAGAACCAAAAACAGTAACAATTGGAAATACTAGTTTTGATTAGTTGATTATTTTCGTGGCAAATAAGTGAAATAATGTTATTAAATATTAAGTACAATAAAAAAATTCCAGTCAAATATGAATTCAGTACAAATCTGTAACCTGCATATCAGTATTTTGTAAAACACATTGACATTTCAGTTATCATATATTACTATGTGTATATCCTACTTACTCTTAAATACTAGAATTTTAATTACCTTTGCTAGAACATATACCAACTAATAAAAATGATTTTTAGTACTTTGATGTTATGAAATCGAGCTGAACTTGTTAACTCTCCTTGTAAGCCTTAATAATTCTCTCAAACTGAGGTGAACACAAATTAATGTATAAAGATTTCAACTATGAATTTTATAAAATAAATCAATTATCACTCACTAGAATAGGATATCACAAACTACTATAATGTATATGGCTTTCTAACTAAGCTTAAAAAAATTGTATTTCTGTTTGGAGTAGCAGCTCTAATCAACATACTTCATTTCCAAGCAAACTACAGTTTTCCACATCAGAAAATTAACTGACAACTGTTGGATTTGCTTGGTTCAGAAAAAAAAATGAGAGAGGGAGATAGGAGAGGCTTCTCTAGCAGTTTTGCCAAATATATTGATATCTGAAATTAATAAGGTAGGAGGTTCTTATTTTATATTCTAGCTTGTCCATATGTGAAGTTTAAGTTTCTAATTGGTTAAGTACTTTAGAAGTTGTATCATGAAAGTAATAAGACCAAAAGAGACTAAATCACAGTACTGATGTGTCATGATACACAAAAATGTTGAACTTTTTTTATATTTCCTTTTGAATTAATGAATTAAAACCTATATTATCTTAAAATCTGAATTATAAACTATGATAATAAAGTTTAATTAAATTTTAAATGTAACTCCGTAAAAAGTTGTGACATATCTACTTCACCCTAACCTGTATACATAGAATTAACTTTTTCCATACAAGGTAGTTGAATTACACTGACCTCATAACCCCAAAGTAACCATCAGTTTCCATACCAGAACTTTTAAAATGTTGTGTGTATCTTCACAAAATTTGGCAAGCTTTCAGTAGACATCATAAGTCTTTTGTACACAAAAATCAAGATTTTTTTAGTAAGTATTTTTACTCAAGCTTTATCCACGAACATATGGAGTAAGCGTGCTGACCACTCTGAATACAGTGACTTTCATATTAAGATTAAAAATATTTCTCTTTATCTGAATTTATGTACTTCTAAAACCTGCTAAATAAATATCAAGCATTTTTTTTCACTAAAACTCTATATTTTAGCTGTTATTTCCTCTACCCTAACTCTATATGTACTTTAGTAACCACCATAAAAAATATAAAATAAGTCTAAATTACCCTTTTTTCTTTCTAAAATGACTTCAAATTGTAATAAGAATCTACATTTGTTTATCCTAAATAGCTTTAAACTCATAACAGTATACATCTATTTATACTTAAATTTTATTGTTTTATTGCCTTTTGAACAGTGTAACTAATAATCCTGCCACACAAGTTGTAAATCACTCCGCAAATGCATAGCTCAAGTTACCATATTGAATGACATAATGCACAAGCTACTCTCAAGCATACCTCATAGTGAATTATGCTTATTTTTCATTACTTTTATAGTAATAAATAGAAAATATACATGAAAAGCAAGAAATATAGTACTTACCTTTGACTTTTTTTTTGTTTTTTTGCAGTCAGTTGTCAATGAAATTTATGCCTACTTTTTTTTCTTCTTATACTGATGGTACTAGTACACTAAATAATTATTTACTTAAATAATGCACCTAAGAACACATAATAATAACACACACAAAACAAACAATGTCCTATGACTATTATAATTTAACTGGCTTTCTATGCCATAAGAGCCTAAAAATAATTCCCTAAGTTTTTTGAGCTGAACACTACAAAAGAAACTTTCAAACTGAAGTTGAAACAGACAACATTCTGTACTAAAAATAATGTAATATAATAAGTTATTTGACAGATTAAAACTGTTTTTCTCTTGGTTATAAATGATATAATAGAAAACATCAGAGACATTATTGGCAATTTGTGAAAGAGAGGATGTGACTTTATAGTTCATGTTTGTGTATAAAGATTGAAGACTATAAAAATTAGACTTTGCCTTAATGATATCTATATTAAAATGAGTAATTTATTTTAAACTCCGCACTTCAGAGAGGGGTGATAAATAAATTAGAGAATTGGTAAGACCCAGAAAACAAATGTCATGATTCTCATAAAAGAGGAGATTGAGGATTTATTTAAATATTTACTTTTAAAATGAAGAAAATAAATCTTATATAATATTAAAATTTGATTTATTAACAATGTTTTTATGTATAGTTTAATTGCACACATTAATAAAATGGCTGTTTAAGTTTTGATTGTAACTCTGTAAAAGGTCATGAAATGCACAGATTTACCTACCCATAGCAAGAGCATTAAGGGGTTCAGATTCATAGAATTATCAAACTTGTTTGAATTACTGATATCTTACTAAATTAGAAGATAAAGGTTACAAAGAATATTAGTACAAGGTAAGGTGAAAGAAAACTAATTTGGCTCTTTAAGGTCCCCTCATACACACACATCCCCATTTTTTAACCCAACTTTAATGTAGTTTTTCACAACTATGTAGCTATCTAACAAAATTTCAAAACAACTCAAACTAAGTACATATACCATAAGGAAAATATTCCACAAGTTTATAACAATGACTAAGAATTTTGTCAAAGAATAATTCTCCCAAACCTGAACATATTAATCGTAAAATTTTGTATTTCTAACCTTTACAATTTACCACTCAAACAATTTACCTTTAATAAGACTCCTACCTGAGGGTCCAGGAGTAACTCCTGGACTGGAGGACTGTACCCAGCTTTGGACAGGAAAGGGGGCTGGTAACAAGGGACCACTACTACTACTAGGAATTCCTAAAATAAGACACAAAAAACATTATCACAATTAAAGTTTTTGCATATTATACTGGTAATTTCCAACTTCCAAAGTGTATTTGAATTTTAACACTACTCACAACCCACAATTGTTTTATTTTTTATTTTGTGTGTGTGTCTTTTAGGGGGATGCAAATGTTTTACATTGCATGTAAACTACTTCACAAACATTATATACATAATTCCATTAACAAAGTTTCATGTCAACCACAAAACCTTTTTTAATCCAAGTACACAAATTATTCCTTACTGAAATTACTATGATTCACAACCACATCTGATTCAGTAATATTTCTTGTTTTTGAATTTATCTTGGATATTTTTAATTAGAGTATTAATATCATTACTGTTTACTGCACAATTTTATTTAACTTTTTATTTACATAATTAGTTTCCTCCTTTATTATCTTTACCCTCCTGTTACCTTACTTTATAAGCTCAAAAGTAAGATGTTATAACCATTTATCTCAAATCTTAATTTCAAGTTACTGTTTCTTATTATTTGGTCAAAATGTATATTTAAGAATCTTACTTCTCTTGTAACATGTTCTATCATTGGGTGAATTATTCTGGATTATCTGGTAAAAATAATGTCCAATCCCATCCATACAATTATAACAAGTTACTTTATTTCTTCCTTAATATTTGCTACATGCTACTTTCACCTGTAGTTGTAGGCCTATGTGCACACAGAACATTTTTAACAGATATTATAAGATTTTGGTAAGTATGTCTTACACACAAATTGACTTACAGAAATTCCTTGTTAATAGACACAATAAATTTAACTTTTAACACCGAACTGTGAACACCTTTTCTCACTCTGAACTCATAAATTCAATAAATAACTTTTCTGATACTGAAATGACCAATAAAATTGGAAATTTCACTGAATTTTCATTGAATCTTCGCACATTGATTGCTTGTATTTATAAGAATTCTCGTTTCTCCAAATCCCACAAAATTTGTAGATTATTACACTGTTATGAACTTTCTAGGCATTCTAGGGCTACTTTATGAATTTTACACATCAAGCACCATTATCCCTCTAGCAAACAACTAAATTATAACACCAAAAATAAAGCTTACAACAATGTCACCATTCCAGATTGTGAAACGCCATGAACAATCCTAATAAAAAAAATAAAACAGTACATTAAACTGCCAATTCACCAAATCTTTTTTTTGTGTGTGGTTTTCTCTTCTGAGGCCCATGGCATGCAGATGGGATGACCTCTTGTTTCTTATCATCACTTGCTGTCCTGTTGCACTAGAGATTTTTCTAGGTTGGTGGTCAAGTGAATCCACTTGTGGCAGTACCCTCGGTAATCTTATGGGAATGGTCTAGACAGGAACCCCAGTTTCCTCTGCAAGTTGACATTTTGTTCACAAATTCTTCTCTGGAATTAGTCATTTTCTCACCAACATACTTTCAAAACTGATCATGCTGGATGAACTTTGACTTGGACCACCTGTCCTTCTGGATTCTATAAACCACATCATTGAATCTCTTCAATATAATATAGGGTCCTTCCCAACACTTAATCTAGGAATTTATCCTTTCTTGTAAATAGTTGTTCAATAATAATATGCCACCTCAATGAAATTTCGTCTTATCAGCATTAACATCATAGTAATCTTTCACTTTATCACCAGCTGATTTAAGTCTTTCCCTGGTAGAGTTATATATTACATCTTTATTCTTTATATCCATGAAAGCTCATTCAACCATTAATCCCTCAGGACATGATGGAGTGTTTGGTTCCACTATGCTCCAATCACTATATGTAAATATTGTTATAACTCCTGGTATGAGTTTGTCTCTTCAATTCAGCTAGTTGCCATCTTTTTGGTGTATGGTTAGCTCTTTGTTGTTTCATTGATCTGATTGAGTTCTAAGACATCTTCTAAGTATTGTCTCCTTGGCTTAATAACAATCTTGATTCCTTATAGTCTCAGCTGTAATACTTCCTTTCAAATTACACTTGAAACATCTATTTTCTTATGGTATATTTCTTCCAGTCTGTTTAACTAGCTGTCTAATTAATTCTTTCATTTCTTCTAAACCATCATCAGAGAGAGCTGATGTTTCAATACTACACAATCTGATGATCCAATAACCTTCAGTTGTCTATTTGTGATTTTAATGGCTTCAAGTTCAATCACCAACTGGAGAGCTTCCTTTAACCCTATCAGCATGGGTACCCTTTACTGCAAATGACACATGGTTTTAGTGTCTTAAATTCAAAATTTTATTAAACTATTTTTTGATATTATACTCATTACAATAGCATAAAATCTTAGCTAATAATCCATATTTTAATTGCATATAAGTTTTACATACTTAATTCTACAAGGCAATATTTGAAAAATCCTGAATTTCCACAAGTGTGACCCATGTGACACATTTTATATTAGCATGTCATCAACCCTATTTTATCCACCACCCTTGGAAAAAGTATGAAATTAAACATAAATTACTCTAGTTATTGTCAAAATAGTTATTGCTCAAACAAACCATAATTTTTATAGCCATCAATTTTGTTTGGTTACAGAGCTATCCTCTCTTTCACAATTCATTGATATGTCATGTCATATAAAAACCCAAAAAATATCAGCATTTTATACACATTTATAGAGCTTTAAAAATATGTTTAAGACGGGAAGACTTAAATAACGAATTGTTATTAATTAAGTATATAGCTATTGATAGAGGATTTGAGCCAAATATAGTAAACAAAGCATTTAAGAAATTTTACAAAAATGCAAATTCAGTTAAAAATACAACATTAAGATCTGTTTACGAAAAAAGAAAATAGAAATTTTAAGTTTACCTTACATTCCACATTTCACAAGTCAATTATATAAAGTATTTGAAAGTATCAGAGTTTTTACCCTATCTTCAAACCAATAAATAAGATAAAAGATATGATAGGAAATGCTGAAGACAATAGAATTAACAGATAAAACAGATAAAAGAATGTGAATGTGGTAGTGTTTATATTGGTCAAATTAAAAGAAATTTAAAATACAGATTGCAATAACACAAAAGAAATAATAAAATAGAAACTTCAGCTATAACTGAACATGTAAAACTACCCAACATACAATATTATGGGAACAAACTTTAATTTTAGCTCAGCCTCAAAGTTTTATATCATTAAATATTAGAGAAACATTATAAATAATGAAATATAAAAAACAAAAAGAAATATTAAATAGAGATGAAGGACCAGCAAGTCACTACATTGATATAAGGCGAGATATATTATAAATACATTTTTTTACTACACCAAGGAAGTATGCAAATAACAATGAAGTAATGCGACAAGGGAAAAGTATAAAATAGCCTTGTAAGTTACTCCTGAGGATGACGTAGAACACGTCGAAACATGTACATGTAGAGTGATGTTTCTATTTTAAAGTGGAAGCCGTACGGCTTCAATAAAGTTTTTATTGTGTAAATACAAGATATTGTTTTTAATTATTTATTATAATTTTGAAAAAAAAAACTTTTATCAACTTTCTAGATCTAGCATATCATTATCTCAATTGGAAGCCCCCCCCCCCCCAGCAAACAACATTATAACATTAAAAATATAGCTTATAACACTTACAAGATTCAAAACATAATACTTAGATTACTTTTTCTCCAACAACCTTCCATATAAACAGAATCTCAGTACTACAAAATTAACTCATGCATATAGGGAAAAAAAAATATTTAAACATTTTTTTTAGCAGACTGTCAGAAAACTTTCAAAGTCACAATACTGTAGCAAGTAGTTTGTCTTAGAGATTGCCAATGTTAACAAATTTGTTTTATTAGATACAAAATAAAATTTTTAATCAACCATGTCACACTACAGACAATTTTTTTATGTTGAATGAAAGCCTACAGCTTGACCATTATGACTATTTTTTTTTAGTTATGGTGCAAACTGCAGTATATTTGAGAAATTCAAATTTTTAACCTTAGGTTGAAACCTTAAGATAAAGGTATATAACTGAAACATCAGGAAATCTGATTTTATCCAAGATTTAAGGGTCATAACATTATTTGAATAATTCTATTCTTTTTGAAATTTTACAGACTTATATGTAAATAAAAAAAGCAATTCTGCAAACTTACAGACTGGTATCTAAGATACTAACAAAGTTACAAAAATGGAAGTCAGATTATTTAAACTTATTCAAAATATGTGCCACACTTTGTTTCCCATTAGATGGATGATCATATCTATATAACTGAAATTTTAGGTTTCTGAAATAATTTTACACCTTAGATGAAATACATACATTTTGTAATTTGCCATTTTATCCACTCTCATATATACTTAATTTTTTACCACCAAGTTTTTCACCTGAAATTGTTAAAGGATCTTTCTAGTACTAATTGCTGTAAATCTGCATTAGAACAGCTACTGTAAAAGGCATAAAACTCAAATATGGTGTTAAAACTAAGAAATAAAGACCCTCAACTTACACTGTGATTTTAGTATGTCAGTAAACACAGAGGTTTATTTTGTTTTGCTGATGCTGAACATTAATGTTAAATTGTTCATTTACTCAATAATTTAACAATAAATCTAGTATGAAAGAAAGATTACAATAACCTTAAACTCTAAATTATTGATACAGGACAAAAAATATTTCTCCTTTCACCATAACTAAAACATACAGAAAACTAAGTTTTGTTAATAATCACACCCTTCTTTTTCCACACCACCAATGCTCTTCTCACACAAGAACTAAGTTTTTCCACATATCCCTACCCAAAGCATATCATTTAGCAGTTCTCAATATTAAACACATTTTTCATGTTTTGGCCCACTTACTCAAACTTTTACAAATTGGACATATCACTAATGCTAATCCATAACCTGTCACTTGTACATTCAAGATGCTTATAAACAAGAATGAAATTTATCACAAAGACTGAATGATATTTAAACATTGTTAGATCCAAGATTTTAACACCAGGAAACCATTATGGTGAAAATTCATTTTAGAAACTATAAAAAACAAAATCTATGCTCTATTAAAAAAAAAAGTGTGCACAAAATACTTTTTCATTTGAAACGTATACTTCTTAAACATGGGAATGACATACATATTTTTGAAAACTTTTAATGAAAGTTTTCAGTTGTGTAAATTAGGAAAGGTGTGTCTGTTTAACTTATCAAAATCAACAAAAAATATTTTTATTTACACAAACCTGGTAAAGGCACTGAAGCATTTTGTCCAAGATAGTGAGGGTAAGAACCCTGTTGTGGCAATGATTCTCTAGGGAAAACACCCTGCATAGACTGCAATTGATATGGCCCCGGCATTCTTCCTACAGGATACTGTCCTGTTCTAGACATCATTTGTGAAGTTTGTGGAAATTGTGAAGTCAGTCTTGGTCCATTTTGCACAGAATAAATAGGTGCATTAGAGTTTCCTGGTACACTGACTTTTGGTGGCTGATAACTATTTTGTTGCTGTAATGCCAGTGATGGAGATGAATACCGACTGGGCTTAAACTGATCTGGTGGAAGAGCATGTCCAGCAGTACTAGAACTCATACCAGGAGATGGTCCAAGCAAATTATCTACTCCACTTAATCCCTGAAAAGGCAAGATTTGTGGCTGCCTATTGTCAGCACAGGATCCTGTTCTTGTTGTATATGAGACTGTTGTGGAGTGAAAGGTACTGCCAGGCAAGACGTCAGTATCACTAACATGTACTGAAGATACTGGTGGTCTTCCTACAGAACTTGTAGTATGCTGTCTTGGTAGTCCCGCAGACATACTACAAAACACAGCAGAAAAAAAAGTTACCACACTTTCAAATACACCCATGAAATAACACAAATCATTTGTAGCTACATTATATCAAATCATAGTATTAAAAATATATAATTATTTCTTCTATGTCTTGAAAGTTAAAGATATGTACATATTCAGTAATCAAATATTAATGCACTAAAGAAGATTTGATAAAATATTACTCAACACAAAATTTATAACTACACAGTACAAAAATCATGATTATTTATTATAATAGGATAATGTGAAAATTTATGGCATGTTAAGAATGAAAATGCCCCGTTAGTTCATGCTTAAACTTGCACTTCAGTTTATAAAGTACTCTAAATCACTGACACAGATAATAACAAAGGCCCAAAGAAAGATCCTTGAAGGACCCCATAAAAAATGTTTTCCCAACTTGAACAATGTACATTCATTATAACCTTTTATTTTTTACCTTCAAGCCAGCTTTTAATCTAGCTTTTCAGTTTTCCCCAATTCCATAAAATGTTAACCTACTAATTAACCTATTGTAAGGAATCTTCAAGAACAATATATAAAATGTCATCCAAACTCTCAAAAGGCTTATTAGAAACCTTCAACAAATTAGTAATACAAGGAAGTTACTTTTTAAAGCCATGCTGAGAATTTCTAATAAAACTTCATTCTTCAAGATGCTTTATTAAGTGATCTTGACAATGAATTAAGGTTACCAATAACAGGAGTCACACTAACTGGCATGTAATTTCATGGGGCTTCCCTAGCCCCGCCTTTTAAGAAATTTTCTCAAAATATTTGAACCACTGAATTAAAAAGAACTGATTCAGGTATTTAAAATTTTTAAGATCTTGAATAAGTTGCCATGGGAAGTTTGTTGTATTAGTGGAAGGATAGGGTTGAAAATTAAATCCTGAATATTAAAGAAAAATAAGCATAAACTACAGAAATTCAGGTCAAGAATGGTGATAAAGTTGTTTTTTTTTTTAGTTATAAAGTTACAAAAAAAAATTCCTTATAACTATGAAATGGTTTATCAAATGATGCCGGTATTTGAATTGTGTTCATTTGTTAAGCAACCTCAATGGGGTAAACAGCCTTCTGTTACTTATTTTTGCTTATGTTCTTTAAATATTTTTAACCAGTAAATATCTTTCACCAAGACATTTTCAAAATACACAGTTATTACAATGTTTAACAGAGAAAGAAAGATGGCTCCATGTATAATTTTGTGGCATCTTACATTTAATATAATTTAACCAACTAACCATTTAACATTATTTTATAATAGTTTCTCAACCACCACTACGGTCTCTCATATCCCAGCCAACCCAACGATCCCTGCAATTGAGCAAAAGGTCTCATTGGCACTGGATATAGCAGATATAGTTCTTAAAATGTTTTTTCTTCACTGTGCTTTTATTGGTTTACTTACAAGCATATTTTTGATAAAAAGAAGATTAGTATTAGACATTTCGTGCAAAATTAAGATCAATATAATGAAGTAACTGAACATACCATAACAACCTAGGGATAGCAGAAGACCATTTGGTTCATCAAGGCTATCCTTACACACCCAACCTTGAATTTAAACTCCTGTAAAATGCTGGCCTCTAAAAATGCTTATTACAACTCGTTAGAAAAACAAAACTGTTAACTGGAACTTAGTCTGTCTTTTCCAAATCTTAAACTTGTGTCCTGTTGTCCAATTCTCTTCAGAATCAAAGAAATCAGGGGCTTTAATTCTACCTGTCCTTAAGATAACCTTGTAAACTTTAAAAAGACCACTCTTACCCTTCTTTTCTAAGGAGAAAACAAGTTGAGAGATCTTAACCTATCCTTACAAGATAACCCTATCAAACTGGAATCATCATAGTAGCACTGCTCTGAACCCTTTCCAATGATTGGATATACTTTCGTAGATAAGTAGATCAAAACTTTGCACAGTATTCTACACGATGCTTAGATATAGATTAATATAGATAAATATAAAATTCTAATGCATTTGCTACTAACAACAGAGCACTGCCAAGGCCCTTTTCTTCAGTCATGCATTGGGTTAGCTCCCATCTATATAATGTTTGACAAAATTATGATAACCCAACTGGATTACCCTGCATTTATAATAAATAACCCCTTCTGTGATTTGCCCAACCTCCATGTTTCAAAAAATAATTGCCCAAATTAACTTGGTCAAACCAATTCTCCCCATATTTCTAATTTACCAAAATTTATTTGCATGTTATCATGTATTTCAATCAGTACTGTTTGTGCTAATCTCTATTGGATGTATTCTGAATTATGTATCACAAACGGAGAAGAGCATTCCTATATTTTACTGTAGTTTCACCAAAACAAGATATATATATATATATATATAAATATATGACATATAAATCCAGATACGTAAAACTTATTTATCAAGTATATTTTGTGCAAAAATAACAATCATAAAAAAACTTGTTTCATTAATATACAAGCATAGGCAATCAAAAAACAAAAAAACTGCCTTTTCTTGAGCTCATTTCCAAAAAAAGCCTACCACTGTATGGGTTAAAGGCTATGTGCCAAATATTTGTCCAACTTAAAATATGATTCAAGTCATTCTATAATACCTCAATACAGCTAGAAATACCAAATAATTTAATGTCATCCAAAAACATAAGTAATTCACTAATTACACACCTATCAAGTTCATTAATGTAAATAAGAGCAAAAGACATAGCATTGACTCTAAGCTGGTCTTTCCACAACCTCTACCGATGTTCTTTGTTAGCTAAGTTGTAGCATTCCCTTATCAAGTTTTTTGAAAGTTCTAAATGAGAAATAATCTTTCATAAAATCTAATTTTAAAAAAGGAATATACATAATTGATTTATTTTATTTTGACTGTACAACACTAATTAGGTTATCATTTGTTGTATTTGTTAATGCACTAGTTATATATTTTACTATGGTAAACAATGGTTTTCTGCTTTAAGTTTTAATCTGTAAACACTGTACTAGAATACTTGGAAGAAAACATTAATACCCAAAACCATTGAAGGGGGGTAGGTAAGATACTGGTATCTGTGTTGTTTTTTGTTGTTGTTTTTATTCATCATAAAAATTACAAGGTAAAAATGAATCTTATTACAAGGTGAAAAGTTTACAAAAATCACCCAAACTTTAATTAATTTAAAACCACGTTTCTCACTTTTTCTATAAGTATAATGTAAGTACATTTCTATATATTATTACATAACTTATAAGTATATATGAAACTTATTTGAATTATAATGAAGTTAAACGTTTAATGAAATCACCTAAATATGAATTAAAGTTTTACAAGCTTACAATTACACATCACTGATGACTAATAGTAATAGTGTCAGAATTATTTTTAAGTATTAACCAAAAAACGTTGCTGATGTCAAATCTTAAGCCTAGCCTATTTGATGCTAGTACTAACGGTATTACTCTTAGTCTTCTAGTACTAGTGTTGCTTACTAGATCATAGATAAACTTAATTTTAAATTAAGCTTTAAAAATTAAAGCCCCCATAACTAACTGGTGCAAGTTGGGATACACATTTAAAACATGATTTAATTAGGCATAAGTTACGTACAGTGTACTACGTACAATTAATACACAAAAAATGTGATTAGTTGTTTCTTATCACATAAGAAAAATAATAAGTTATATCAATTGCATTTTGTTGAATATGTCACTAGGTTACATTTCTTAATTTAACAATCTTATTTACTTTAAAGTGAGCAATAGCAATACTTATTAAACTTTTTCAGGCCCTAACGTCCTCATATTCTCCTAGAATGACGTATGCAACAACACTAAACCATAAAAAGTGAAATACAATTAGCAACTGAGTCTGCGCTCAATTGAACAACGTGGCATTTTACCCAAAGTGCATTGTGTCAAACCGCAGAAACTGAAACTTTTAATCATGAAACTTCTAAATCCGCGAATAAGATATATCATAGTTTAATTTGCAGATTGAGAATTTTTAACCATAAGCACTGAAATAGAAAGCATTATCTTATTATAAACACTAAAAGTACTAATATTATAATGAATTTTTTCTCTAGTTTTTAAACATGAACATTTCTAGAAGTAAAGTTTCTGCCTTAGGAGCAAGAGATTTAAAAGTGCATCTCGACTGAACTCACGAGTAAATGTAGTATTTTCATAATAATGGCTGGAGACGGCTTGAATGGGTAATGAAGAAAAACTTTAATATAAATTTAACATAACAGCAAATGTACAACGTTTCGACAAGGTTTTGTC